GGATTCAGTATTAGGTAGACAATAAACCTGTTTTATAGGAGGGATTCAGTATTAGGTAGACATTAAACCTGTTTTCTAGGAAGGATTCAGCATTAGGTAGACATTAAACCTGTTTTATAGGAAGGATTCAGTATTAGGTAGACATTAAACCTGTTTTATAGGAAGGATTCAGTATTAGGTAGACTTTAAACCTGTTTTATAGGAGGAATTCAGTATTAGGTAGACATTAAACCTGTTTCATAGAAGGAATTAGGTTGACATTTTGCCATGTTTGATCCCATATTTATTTTAAGAATGGGATTTTTCCTCCACATTCCGTTCCCATCTTGGGATATAATTCGGATATTTCCCTGGTGTGATGAAATTCTTCAGGTCAGCGCCACATATCATTTCTTCATTTCACATTTTATTCATTCATTCTTCTGTTCATTTCTCATTTAAATCTTTTCATTTCACATTTTATTCATTTCATTTTATTCTTTTCATTTTTCTTTACATTTTATTTATTTCATTCCTTACCTTTTATTCTCATTTTATTCTTTTTATTTTTCTTCATTTCTTTTTGCTTGCTCAAATATAAATAAATGTAAACATATTTTCATGTTTATATCTAGGGAATATATATATACATATTTTCATGTTTACATCTAGGGAATATATATATATATATTTTCATGTTTATATCTATGGAATATATATATATCTAGGGAATGCTTGGCTGTGATTTGATAGGATTCCATATTGAGGATTATTGTCTCAACTTCCTTGATTGCTGTCAAAGGTTACCTTTCTGCAAGTTTTATAAAGAACATTTGTTTTTGTAAATAATGAAATTTAAAAAATAAAAATCTTTCTCGAGAAATTATGAATTAAAGTAAGGAAGTTTTGAGCAAAACTTAAAAACAAATATTGTTTTAATTTATTATGTTAATATTAAACTTTAAGATGCCTGGGGTGTAGAGTAGATAGAACTAAGATGCTAGTTGAACACTGTGGAAGGTAAACACTAGAAAATGGTGGCGCTTTCTGCCCAACTTTTCAATTATTTTCAAAATTTTCCATATTGAGAAAGAAACTATGACTTTTTGGATCAAATACTCCCAATTTATAGTATCAAAGGTTTACACCATCAGGTTGCAAAGATATAGGGATAAGAAAATAAGCAATGAGTTCCTTTGGTGGTGCTTTATGCAATAATGTCGTTTCTTAAATTTTTTTTAGTTTTTAGAATCTTTTTAAAATGTTTCTCTTTTTAGAACAGTTCAAGTAAAAGCTCTTCCAATTGGTATCCCATATAGCAGGTGAATATCCATTAATTGGAATCCTATATACCAGGTGAATATCACTCTATTGGTATCCTATATACCAGGTGAATATCCTCCTATTGGTATCCTATATACCAGGTGAATATCCTCCTATTGGTATCCTATATACCAGGTGAATATCCTCCTATTGGTATCCTATGTACCAGGTGAATATCCTCCTATTGGTATCCTATATACCAGGTGAATATCCTCCTATTGGTATCCTATATACCAGGTGAATATCCATCCTATTGGTATCCTATATACCAGGAAATAAAATGTATTTCTACTTAAAAAAAAGGTTGTTCTGTTGAAAATAATTAAAACTATGTCAAATTTGTTATCTATTTGTTTTGTTCACATCATTAGGTTAGAAGAATGGAACGATTTCTATAAAGCGTGATTTTAAAAAGATTGTAATGTTGAAAACACATCGATTTTCAAGTGTCAACTCCTTGGTCTTTAAAACTTTACTAACTCACTTGTACTTTTTTGTAGTTTAGCATTATGATCTTAGAACTATACATACATCTTTTTATTAACTCCAGTGTATAAAGAGAAGCTGGACAAATTCGTAAAGATTTTGGTGTGAAAGCCTTCACAATTAAGTGTACAGCAAAACAATTAATTACGGAAAAACTGCAATAAATATTTATTTAATGGAATAAAAAAGTAAAATTTCTCATTTAATCTGAACTTCATTGATTATTTGGAATGTAAAAAATATTTAAACCCAATAGAATTAAATCTTCGCAACAAACTCTAATTTTCTAAACCCTATATAACTTTGCCACCCAATGTTGTAGAACCTAGATATTTCAAACAATGAATTCTGTGAGATCAAATTATCTAATTTTGAAATACAAAAGATTTACAAAGGTTGTAAAGATATAGTGATTGGAAAATTAGAGCTTGTGGCAAAGACTGAGTTCCTGTGTAAAAATAATTAAAAAAAATATTTTTAGATTTGTAAATCTTGCAAGTGTTGCTCCTCGTATATTTCCCTCTACAGAGGTTAAAGTTATTCTGGGAGTAGACAGATTAGATTATACTAAAGGTATATAATAAGGGGGGGGGGATCGTTGTATACCTCCCCCCTTGTAATTTTATTTTTGTAATATATGTCACCTAATTATATTTTGATTACTAAGAACATATTTTTCTTGAGTGCATCAACACGCGGTGAGAAGGTTGATCAGTAATTTAAAAGATTCTAAAATAACTTTTTTAACCATTAATTAATATGAAAAATTGAAAAGTCTTAGATTTTCCTTGATTTTTACGATGTATCAAATCAGTTCCCACAACTTATTCAAAGAACTTTTTTCTTGCCTAATTTTTTAAGGTCATGGAAATGTTTGATCTTCTTAGTCTCACTTTATGACTTTAACTGACAATAATATTTAAACTTCAATGACAGTTTCCCAATTTACAAATAAACATATACTAAGCTTACAGGGCTTCTATCAACATATACTAAGCGCATTAATGTTGCTTTTCAAGCGGACATTTTTTCTTCGTAAACTCAAAATGTTGCGGATTTTTCTGTAAACATTTAAACAATAAAATTTAAGATAAAGACATTTTTCCAACATTTTTCATTTTTAACCGTCCATACACCTGGGGTCTTGTGCGGTGCCACAAAAATGTTGGGCCCGATGGGCTCAGCCGTTTTGACGTTTAATTGATAAAGACAGACAGCTAATAAATTAACATATGAACAGATATCCTAATTTTTAAATTAGGATCACACAACCAATCTTAATGCTTAGATTTATTCAAACCGGGGATTCCACAGAAAGAAACTATTCCACAGAAAGAAACTATTTTCCTAATTTTGTGCGATCCCATTAAAAATTTGTTTGATTAAATGAAGATTTTGAATTATCTAAAAAAAATAAGCCGAAATTTCAGGTCTAGTTGCAAGATTGAAAGCTTTTCAAAGGTTACTGATAAAATATCCAAAATGGATGGAGAAGGTCATTCTCTTACAGGTAGATTTTCTTCTTTACACAAATATTTTTCTTTAGATAGATATTCATCTTTAGATAGATATTATTCCTTAGATAGATATTCTTCTTTAGGTAGATATTCTTCTTTAGACAGATATTTTTCTTTACATAGATATTCTTCTTTAGGTAGATATTCTTCTTTAGGATATATATTCTTCCATAGATAGATAATCTTCTTTAGATAGATATTCTTCTTTAGGTAGATATTTTTCCTTATATAAATATTTTTCTTTAGATAGATTTTCTTCTATAGGTAGATATCCTTGAACTAAACTTTGAATATCTTTGAACTAAACCCTGAATATCCTTGAACTAAACCCTGAATATCCTTGAACTAAACCCTGAATATCCTTGAACTAAACCCTGAATATGCTTGAACTAAAACCTTCATATCTTTAAACTAAACCCTGAATATCCTTGAACTAAACCCTGAATATGCTTGAACTAAACCCTGAATATCTTTGAACTAAACCCCGAATATGCTTGAACTAAACCCTGAATATCTTTGAACTAAACCCCGAATATGCTTGAACTAAACCCTGAATATGCTTGAACTAAACCCTGATTATCCTTGAGGTAAACCCTGAATATCCTTGAACTAATCCCTGAATATCTTTGAACTAAACCCTGAATATCCTTGAACTAAACCATGAATATCCTTGAACTAAACCCAGTATATCCTTGAACTAAACCCAGAATATCCTTGAAATAAACCCTGAATATCCATAAACTAAACACTAACTCTCTCTAGGTAGCTGTACCGTCCCGGACGGATGTAAAGGAGTACCAGGAGTTGAAGGAGGACCTAGATAAACTTGTTGGAAGTATCAATGGTTCATTTTCTACTCCGGCCTGGTCTCCCATCAGGTGAGATATAAAGATGAGCCTTTATTTGTCTTTCATGCATTTTAATTTAATTTTTTTTTCCAAAGGAATTGAGTCTTTTCCACAAACTCAGTTGTTCTAATCCCTATATCTTTGCAACCTGATGGTGAAAGCCTTAGATATTTCAAACTTAGATTTTTGATCTAACAAAATGTACAGTTTGAAGGTGTAAGACGTTGAATTACAAAGATACACGGATTATAGTGAAACTGGCTTCGGGTTTGGACCCAACCAGAATTGAAATTACTTAAACGCAGTGGTTGCAAAAGTGTTATTTTGTTGTTCTGGGGGAGGGGAGGATGCTGGTATTTCATTTTGTTATCTTGCCCTTGTATTTTATTCCCCCCCCCCAAAAAAAAAAATCATTTTATCAATTTTTACAAAGGAGAGTGCACGCCCTCCCTTTAAAAAAGATAGGGACAGGCATGGCCATGGTAGGACCACTTTTTAGATACATAAAATATTACTGCAGGTACATTACTTTTTCTTGTTTAGATATATTTACGGTTGTGTGAGACAGGATAAACTAGCAGCATATTACAGAGATGCTACAGTAGGACTAATTACTCCGCTCAGGGATGGAATGAATCTAGTCGCTAAGGTATAATTGCTACTTAGAGATAGGATAAATGTGGTATCTAAGGTATGAAATTGCTACTCAGAGATAGGATGAATCTGATGTCTAAGTTAGGATTGTTACTCAAGGATAGGATGAATCTGATGTCTAAGTTAGGATTGTTACTCAAGGATAGGATAAATCTGGTATCTAAGGTAAGATTGTTACTCAAGGATAGGATGAATCTGGTATCTAAGGTATGATTGTTACTCAGAGATAGGATGTATCTGGTATCTAAGGTATGATTGTTACTCTCGGAGATGAATCTGGTATCCAAGGTAAGATTGTTACTCAGAGATAGGATGTATCTGGTATCTAAGGTATGATTGTTACTCTCGGAGATGAATCTGATATCTTGATTTAGTAAAATTCTAAAGTTTCGTGGTATTTTTATGATAAAATAACCCCCCCCCTCTAGTTTTTTTGCACTAATACTATAATTTTTTTAATTAGCACTAGTACTCTAATAATTACTTGTATCACATCTTTTTGATGAAGTTTTAAGCATCCAAAATCTTTTGACACTTTTTTAAACCTCCATAAACCATTAAAATCAACGATCTATTTGTTTACGAGCTGGCCTTCATAACTTCGGCTATGATTTGTAACTCCATTCTTTACTCCAAGGCCTTTTCTTAGGGGTACGCCCCCCCATACATAGATTCAGACCCCCTAGTTTTCTAGGGTTAAAAGATGTTGTTAAAAGTATGAGGACAGAATTTTTTTTATTAAACTTGAATGCATTTCTGATTTAAGGAGTTTGTTGCCTGCCAGGATGATACAAATCCAGGAGTTCTTATTCTCAGCCCATTCGCAGGAGCAGGAGGGATCATGCAGGAGGCTTTACAGGTATGCTCTTCTTGGGATCATTAAATTGACCTGATATGAGAAGACAGATTTGATTTATCTAACAATTTAAATTTGTACAACGGAACTGAAGCCTTGTTTCTAAATCTAATTTTCTAATCCCTATATCTTTGCAGCCTAATGATGTAAACCTTTCAAATGGTGTTAGGAAATTTCCCCAGCACAACTTCCCCAACACAATTTCCCCAGTTACAACTTCCCAACAGCAATTTTCCCAGCCACTAATTTCCCCAGTCACTAATTTCCCCAGTCACCAATTTCCCCATGCAGTAAAATTCTTAATTTCCCCAACACCAATTTCCCCATGCAGTAAAATTCTTAATTTCCCCAACAGCAACTTCATTTCACAACGGTTGTTGCTACACATTTTGAATGTTTCCTTTTCTCCACACAGTTTCAGAATGATTTAGATTTGTCTCTTGACATTGATTGTAGGTTGTACTCATACTTACTGGGATCCACCAGAACATTTCTCTTCTTCGAGGACAGTGTATAAACTGCCAACATTGTCGACTCTAATCCAACTGATTTTTCACATTCAAAAAGTTCCGAATTTTTTTATATTAAAATTGCGCATTTGTTCATTGGAATAATGTTAAAAACGGAAATATTTGATATTTTACTGCATGGGGAAATAGTTGTTGGAAAAGTTGCTGTTTTACTGCATAGGGAAATTGGTGTTGGGGAAATTAGTGATTGGGGAAATTGTTGTTGGGGAAATTGGCTGTTGGGGAAATTGCTGTTGGGGAAGATGTCCCGGGGAAGTTGTGACTTCAACACCAATTTCCCCATGCAGTAAAATTCTTAATTTCCCCAACATCAACTTCATTTCACAACGGCTGTTGCTACACATTTTGAATGTTTCCTTTTCTCCACACAATTCCAAAATGATTTAGATTTGTCCATTGACATTGATTGTAGATTGTACTCATACTTATTGGGATCCACCGGAACATTTCTCTTCTTCGAGGACAGTGTATAAACTGCCAACATTGTCGACTCTAATCCAACTGATTTTTTCACATTCAAAAAGTTCCGAATTTTTTATATTAAAATTGCGCATTTGTTCATTGGAATAATGTTAAAAACGGAAATATTTGATATTTTACTGCATGGGGAAATAGTTGTTGGGGAAGTTGCTGTTTTACTGCATAGGGAAATTGGTGTTGGGGAGGTTGCTGTTGGGGATGTTGCTGTTGGGGAAATTAGTGATTGGGGAAATTGTTGTTGGGGAAATTGGCTGTTGGGGAAATTGCTGTTGGGGAAATTGCTGTTGGGGAAGATGTCCCGGGGAAGTTGTGACTGGGGAAGATGCGTTGGGCATCTAACCTAACACCTTTCAAATAGTACAGTAGAGAGTATAGAGTAAAGTCGAAAAAGTTTAAAACCGTCATTTTGTCGTTCTGTTTCAATACTGAAGAGCCCAAAACTTAAGACAGGGTATCATTATGAAAACCAGTTTTAAAACCCGGGGTTTAAGAATGGTTAGGCAGTTTTGTGGATGTCAATATTTTAATTATGAAATATTTGTTTCTTCATATTCTCCATTTTTTTCGAATCTCTCAAATCAAAATCTACAAAATGTTAAGACCCCAAAAAGGAACTCAAGGGTTTCGTTGAACGATACTCTTTTAAATTTCGGGCTCAGGTGTACTTGCACACAGTTGTGCTATATGACCTTTTGGGCCCTGGAACATCTGTCATGTTTCGTGGGACTCCCTGTACCTGTCACCTTTTATGTTATGTACATCATACCTGTCTTCTCATAGAGGGATACTGGCAAGAGCACAGTAACTGGACAGAGAGAGCATACGCGTAACTCCTTTGGGGGTTATTGTGAACGAAAAACATAGTACGATTTCTTATGTAAAATTTAGCATATAAATGCAATGTCTTACGGTGGTTATAGGCGATTATATAAATACAATAAAGACGACTTATTTATTTAAGTTATGATTGTTAACAAGCTTTTTATAAATTACACGTTTACAAGGAATCAATTACGCTTGTTTAATTGATAGTTCTCTTGACTCCTATGTTTATGTGTATCCATGCTGCTAACCTAGATTCATTTAAATCAAATTGAAATCGAAAGCAGTCTTTATTGAATTAGTATAATCGCCTACCACCGTACGTAATACAATATTTTATGAAAAATTAAACATATTATAGTTTCGCATGTATAATTTCAAATTCAGATTCCTTCTAAGCATTTAAGAAAATAAGATGAGAAGAATAAAATTTAAATATCTTTAAAGAGTCAATCAATTATGGAATATTGGAAAAGTTCCTGCCGAAGAAAGAGAACATTAATTAAGTAAAAAAAAACTTTAACATAATACAATTACATAATGTAAACATGACTAAATAAAATAAATTAAGTCTGTTATCTTAACTTACATAGCTATTCCTTTATAATGTTTATGTTTTTTATCTCCAATATAAACTGTTTGGTGGTTTACCATTCATTCTAATTGTATCCTTAATCCGAAGAAGCATTAGCCAGATAAATAATTAATCTAGATTTTTTCCTTGTAAAACTGTACTTTGTAACCTGATCCTTATAAACTTAAAGGACATGCATGGTGATAATGTCAAATTTAAAACGGAGCCCTTAAAAAGCTTTGTCTATATCAATAATCAGATACATGATAAATCTACATGATTATCTGAATCTACATGATTATCTGAATCTACAAAAAAAATCTGAATCTACATGATTATCTGAATCTACAAAATAATCTGAATCTGCAAGAATATCTTGAATTTTACACGACTATCTAGATTTCGAAACTAAAATTTCCAAAACTGAGTTTTTGTTTAGTTTATAAGTTTCCTACTCTCTCTTTATATATTTATACATGTTCTAGGTAAATCCCTATGAGATGGAGAATGTAGCGGATACACTAAACCGAGCCCTGGAGATGCCATTAGATGAACGCCAGCTAAGGAAACCAGATTTATTAAATCTACAAAAACACCCCCCCCCTCTCAATTTACCCGGATCTACTGGAATTGATTACTCAATACTCGCCTCAAACTGTAATATTCTAGTCCCTAAATCTTTGCCGCCTTATGTCGTAATCGTTATAGACCTTTAATATCTTAAACTGACTATTGGACCTTGCAGAACTCATACTTTGACAAATTAATTAGGCTTAGGACATCAGGTTGCAAAAGTTCACGATTTGAAAATTAGAGTTTGAGGTGAGTAATAAGCAAAGAGAATGGAATATACATTAGAGTGGAGTTTACTAGAAAAAGGTGTAAAACGGCCATTTTGTTGTACTGTTTCCATACTGCAGGCGTACTTCACATATTTATGCTATATAATCTTTTGGGCCCTGGAATATCATTTTATAGAAAATCTAAAATTAATATCAAAAGAAAACCAAATTATGAAATAGGCTGGTTTCATAATTGAGCAATGATCATTTCACATAGACTCTATGCCTTTCACTTTACAAACGATGATTTTCCATTATAATTATAAACAAAATGATGTTTTTTTTACCTAATTCATTTTATAAAGTTTATTTAACAGCTTTAAAAAATTCGAAATTGAAATGAATAGTCTAGGGAACATATTAATGTACTCTACTGCATATAATTTGTGAACATTTACATGATTTGTACACTTTTAACGCCCTTTCAGGCTGAAAGGGACTGAAAAAATTCATACCGAGAGATTGTCTAAATTCCACTCTAATATATATTATATTCTTTTTGGTAATAAGTGACTTTGACTTAATTGATGAATGATATAAACATTGCGGTAGTCTTACTCAAAATGTGACCAATAAAAGATGGCAATTTGATCATTGAATTAAAGTCTTAAAGATAATTATTAAATAATCTTGGTTTGCGTAGAATGTTTCAGTTGAAGAAGAGAGAGAAGAGGATGGATGTAGATGCATGGGTTCAATCCTTTCTTCATACAATGGGAGCAATTTTTGACGATAAGGTAATATTAAGGACGTATACAGGAAGAAATCTTTGGGGGTGGGATGAGTTTGCGAAATGCGGGGGAAAAAATTAACCCCCCCCCCCCCCGGCCCATATGAGCTCTTAGGATGGGGTTGGTTGGGGATAAAATTTGAACAACAGATTCAGAATATCCGGCGAATAAGACACTTTAAATGTACATATTGTCCAATTACCTTGCTAGTATAAAATTAGCCCATTTTTTTATCCATTTTAAAAATTATGCAGTCTTTCAAAGTCCAAAGTGAACTCGCCCAACTAAATTTCAGCAAATGTATAAAATCTATATATCCATTTAGGCACATTTTTTCTCTTGAAATCAATTCTAATATTGCTCTGACAAACTATTCTCTCTATAAATACAAAAATCCTTTTCCGTGAACACTCACTTTAATTTCAAAACTGACTTCGTACTTTAGGATGAGAGTCCTCTAATGGAGCAGTATATTGACAAAATGGAGGTCAAAGATTTCGATTCAAGCTTAGGTTTGTAAAAAAATAAACCTTTTTTTGACAAAAATCTTTAAATAAAATTTAAAACTTAATTCCCCTGTGTATTTAGGTCCCCTAGTAGATAACTGTTCTAAACTAGGAGTAATTCTAGACTTTGATGGAACTCTATCCTTCCTTGCCAGGTTGGATATATTTTAACCCTATCCTTGATCCCATCCTGTCTAGGAACCCTATCCTTCCTGTTTATAGGAACTCTAGAGAAAAAATACAGTAAAACTCATAGAAGACAACGTCACAGGGATATATTTATTTGCCTCAAATTTTGATTGCGGAACTCAGGAGAACTACGGGAATGTTCTTAGCTTGGTTTTGAGATTCTAATTAAGTAGAGTGGGACTACTTTTATAGGAAAGAATAACTAAAATCGTAATTTACGACCAAGCGCGGGTAAACGGCGGGAGTAACTATGAGTACGATGGGCAAC